ACCTATTTATTTATTTATTTATTTGTTTATTTATTTACTAATTTATTTACTTATTTATTTATTCATTCATTTATTTATTCATTTGTTTATTTATTCATTTATTTATTTACTTATTTATTCATTTATCAAAATATTTTCAAATTTCGAAAGAAACATTGAAATAGTATTTTTAAATCCACTCTCTTTCAGTCGACGAGAAATTCATTTATGAAAACAAAATTAATTCCCTGAAAATTAGGCTAAAGAATTTGTTTTTTATTTTCCCCTCTTAAATTTTAGTGCAATTATTTGATATTTGTTATTTAGACAAAGAGAGGAAAACTTTCTTTTGAGCTTATAAAGCAGAGTGAATATCTTTTGTTTTGTTTCTTATCGAGAATTTTTTTTCTCTCTCTATCTCTCTCTCCATTTTATTCCAACTGCTTTCACAAGTCTCAAAGAGTTTCACATTTTTTTTTCTTTTTTTTGACGAAACAAGAAAAAAAATGGGAGACTCTTCAACGACAAACGTTACTAATCTAAATACTGATTTTTCCTTTCGTTAAATAAATATTTTTATCACAAAAAATGGCATTTTAAACGTATTCCCAGAATTCTGAATATTTATAACATTCTGCTCAAAAGATTTTTTTGTCTTTTAATTTTTTTTATTATTATAAAGCCTTGTGGAAAAAAAATTTTTTACTTAATTGTACGTTAGAGAAGCGACAATCAAAAATTCGGAGATTTTTAATTTCGATTGTCGAAGAAATAATTTGGCAAAAAATTAGAAAAAAGAAAAAAGAAAAAAATTAAAGAAAAAATAAAAAAAGTAAATAAAAAAAAAATTGTTAATCATTTTTTCTGGCAAGAAATATTTTTTAAATTTTTATACGCTTTTCGGAGAAAGAAACTTCTCTTTTTGTCTAAATTTTGAGAGAGAAAAATAGCACAAAAATTTCTTCTTTTATGAAATTAAATAAAAAGGGTTAAAAATGACTTTTTGTCTCTTCAAAGCGAAGAAACAATAAAGTCATTATTTTTATGGAAAAAAATAGAAGTATCTCTCTCTTTCGCTTGCACAGGTTGAAGAGAGGTTAATGTCCAACTTTCACGTAATTGTAAAAGCTGCTATTCTTATCAATAGATTTTTTTTATTTTGCATAAATGCATATTCCAATTTTCATTAATGTGAGTAAGCACAATTTTTCACTTATAATTCTATTCAACTAATTGAAAAAATTACCCTTTGTTTTTTTAAAGATCTAGTTAACTTTTTTAAACACTGAGTGTTGTATACGTCAAGTGAAATTTATGCTCTAATGTAATTACTCGACATGAAAGATAAAAAGAAAAAGAGAAGAGCACTTCATAAAACTTTTTCTATATATAAAAATAACAATATTTTGCGCATCCAAAAAGTCTAATTTAAATTTGTTCTTTAAAAAAAATGAATAAAAAAAAACAAAAAATATTTATTTTCTAAATTTAAATATTTATTTATTCCTAATTTTTTTTAAATCTAAATTTGTTTTTATTATTATATATATGTTTAAATTAAAGAAACTTCGCAAATGAAAATTCATTCAGACGATAAAAATTTCGAATTTGACAAAAAAATTCCCCTGGCAAAATTGAAATAGATTTTTAAAATAATAATTTGCAAAATAGTTTACAGAAAAGGGAAAGAAATTTTTTTTGGGAAAAAAGTTTAAACAAATATATTTGAGTTCGACTCCAAACGCTTAAAAATTTGAAAAAGTTTCGCATTTCTTGCAATATTGGGAACATTAATGTGAGTTGGAAAAAATGCCTTTTCCCGTTGTATTTAAACAAAATCAAAATAAATAATTGGTATCAGATGAAACAAAAAGAAAAATTATAACCATCTAACGGCCTCGCTCTGAAAAAAGTGAACACGTGCCTTTATAAGGAAACATTATATTATAGTAAAAATACTATGTTCGTCGTAAATATTAAACTTGGCTCGTGTACCACGTTTTTAGCTCGAGGTTAACAACTCGACTGCTGTATTTTTCTTAGGTGTTCGGTTAACGATACATAATTGCCATTTTTAAGAAATATTCGCGCATTAATGTGCTTTTTTTTGAAGTTTTTAAACTCCAATGAATTTTTAATTAACTGCTAGAAAAAAAAATTCTTCTTTTGAAAGAAACAAAAAGAAAACATTTTTTTTCTTAAAAAAGAAAAAGAAAACATTGTTTTCTAGCGGAAAAACAATTCTTTTTCGAAAAAGAAGGAAAAAAACAGTTTTTGTCTTAAAAAAAGGAAAGCATTGTTTTCTTGAGGAAAAAAAATTCTTTTTTCGAAAAAAAAGATTGTTTTGTGTTTTCCTTTATTTTCTCTTTTTCTTTGTAAAAGAATTTTTTTGACACAGTAAGCAGTAACCCATTGACAATTAAAACAATCAAATTATTTTTTTTAACTCTAATTGAAGAGAAATTTTACAAATATTTTTTTTTGACAACAACGAAAGAAAAAGCCAAAAAGGACGCTTTAAAGGCTGTTTTTAATTTGAAGCAGAAATAAATATTTATTAAGATCGCGGAAAAAAATTTACAAAAAGGAAATTATTAGAAAATGAAGAAAGTTGAAAGGAAAAGTTAAAAAGTAAGTTAAGAAGAAAAGGTAAAAAAAACTTTATAGAGAAAATTGAAACGAATCACTACAATTTTAATTTTCTTTTCGATAAAATTTAATATTCTCTCTATAATAGAAATTAGTTAATTTTAACGAAAAGCGGAATTAATTTTCTTATTTTCTTTAATTATATTTATTAATTTATAGGTAAAAGTGGAAAGAAGAGAAAAGTTTGGGCGAAGAGTTTAAATATATTAAATTATTGAAAAGAAATTTTCAACTTTGTAGTCAAAAAGAAATTAAAAAGAAATTTCGTATTGATAAAACATTCATAGTTTTTTAATAATAAATTAATTTTTCAATAATAGAACATTGATAATTGTTTATTAATAAAATTCTTTTGTTATTAAAAAAATTGTTTATTAATATAAAATATAATTAATTTTTTGTTAATAAAATATTTATAATTTTTTTGTTAACAAAACAATAATTTTTTTAATAATAAAACAATAATTTTTCTAACGGTAAATTATTAATTTATTAAAAAAATAAAATTAAAAGCCCGTGTATTATCAATAAATAAACATTCAAATAATTTTTTACTAACTAAAAAACCGAAAAAACTGAAAAAATTATCATAAAAAACAGAATGAATATGAAAAAATTAAATTACATTAAAAATGTTGTAAAAAATTATGAAAAGAGAAATATTTTAATTTGTCAAGGGCATTTCCTGTTTCGCATTAAACTTGAAAAAAAATTAATTTTTTTTTATGAATTTCTTCTAAATTTTTTATCAATTTTGTATCGTGTCCTATATATGTAAAAAGAGAGATAAAAAAGGTATATTATATTCGCATGATCTATTTTTTTTCATTATTAAAAATACAAAAACTTTTCCTCTTGAATATTCCTAAACGAATCATTCTTGTTATTTACTCCATTTTTTGATACGGGAAAAAGCATTTTAATAATATTGACATTAAAACATTCCACTGTTTAATATACGGAAAATATTAATAAAACAAAAAAAAAGAAAATACTCAATGGAAATGAACGGGAATATTTTTAAAAAAGTTTTTTTTTTAAATAAGGGATTCGTAACAGTCAAAGGAAATTTACTTTTTGATGAAACATCCTTTATGTAAATAAATAGCAAACAAGAGAAAAAGAATTTATTCTCTATTATAAATATACTATTCCTTTATAAATATACTTCTGTATAATATATCCATATGGATTTATGCACATTGCGTATAAAAAACATTTATCAATAACAACAAAATAAACATTTATTTATGTACAATTATTTACAAACAAACAGATTCGAATCTATATTGTTTTCAATTTTCGTCAAAGAGAATGATTGTAGAAAAAAATAATTTTTTTGATTACTGTTTAATATTATTTTTATTATTTTGATAATTGTTTTATTCCTTTATTTTACTATTTTTTAAATTATTTTTTTATTCTTGTTGCTATTATTACTTTTACGGTTTTTTTAACTATTTTTTTTTTTGCTTTTAGTATTTTTATTATTATTGTTTTTCAAGTATTTATTTATTTTGACTATTTTTATTATTCTTTCTACTTTGTTTAATTACTTTTTTATTTTTACTATAATTTTTTTTATTCCTACTACTTTCTTTATTTTTACTATTTTTATAATTCCTACTATTCTTTATAATTACTTTATTTTTACTATTTTTATTATTATTCTTTATACATTTTATAATTATTTTTTTATTTTTACTATTTTTATTACTTCAACCACTTTTTAAAATTATTTTCACTATTGTTACTATTTCTATTTTTCCTACTACTTTTTACTACTGCTACAACTTCTTTAACTTGTTTTTTATTTTTACTGATGTTACTACTTCTTTAAATTATTTTAACTATTTTTATAATTCCTACTACTTTTTTCATTGCTTTTTAATATTTACTATTTTTATTATTATTCTTTCCATAATTTTCAACTATTTTTTTATCTTTTCTATTTTTATTACTCTCACTACTTTTTTCAATTATTTTCACTATTGTTATTATTTCTATTACTCTTATTACTTTTGTAAATTATTTTTCGTTTAGAAAAATTTTTCCACCCATTTTGAAAGTATTCTTTTCTTTTTTGATTTCAATTTATTTATTTACAAAAATAAACGAGAAATAAAAAAATTTTTCCAAATCCACTAAAAAATAATTACTTTTTTCTCCAATTTTTCGCTTTTTTACTATTTTTCTCAACAACTTTATTTTTTACCCAATATGCATAAAAACATTACAAAGAAATAAAGAATATTACATAATAGTCGTAAATTCTCCTCCAAATAATGCAAAATCTGATTAAAATAGAAAAAAACTCAAATATGCAAGAAACGCGAAACTCGTATTCATAAATATAAAAAAAAAATTCTTACCGGTAGCCAAGATTATTATATGGACCAGCTAATAAAATTCTGCACAGAGTAGAGTGAAAGGCAATAAGGAAACCATTGGGAACAATGTCACAGATTCACCGCATACACAATAGTTTCTTTTTGCATTGATTATATTAAATTTCTTTATATATACTCAAACAAGAAAATGCACTTAGGCTTTTTTTTCTTCTCAACAATTTTTCGTTAACATAAAATTTTCACTTATAGATTGCAACGTTGTTTTCATTTCTTCCCCAAAATAGCACGAGAGAAATTTAAAACTCGACGCGCGCACAAACTCAATTATTTCTCGTCAAAAAAAAAAAAAAATAAATAAAAAAAAACTGATACCGGTAAATATTTTTTGTTTTTAACTTTTTTTGAAAACCGGAAGGGACATCCGAACGACATCGCGAGTGCTATTGGACTGAGCATCTGCCCTACACTACAAAACCTGAACACATCATGCTCGCCTTCTGTCGGGCATGCTCTCTCTCGCTCTCACTGCTGCTGGCATCGAGCATGGCGAAAGGTCTTGTCAACTCAAATGACACGTTCGATGCAAGTCAACGACTATTTCGACTAATGATGAGATGTTATGTTATTGACTCAGATTTACGAAATTTGGGGAAAGAAAATTTTGTTTTCTCAAGGTCACAAAAAAATTGTTTTTTATTTCAATTCTCATTAGAGAGCTTGAAACTCGAAACTATCACTGAAAGAATCTTTCTCAAATTTATTGTATGTTCATCGTTAAAAGTATTTTAATGAATTTGAAAAACTATCGTTAAAATTTCTGATTGTTGTTGTCTTTTTTTATAGGTGGAAGTATTTTTGTAACTATCAGTATTTTACTTACGAAATATCCTTTTCTCAATTTTTATTTACAACTTATTATTATTTTTCTATTTTATTTTTATTTTCAATTATTTTTTCCGTTCTTTTTTTTCGGGTCATTTTCTATTTTTTTTTACTTTTTCAATTTTTTTTCACTTTTTCAATTATTTTTCAGTTCTTTTCTATTTCTTCGGGTCTTATTCTATTTTTTCTACTTCTTCAATTTTTTTTCACTTTTTCAATTTTTTCTACTCTTGAATTTTTTTCCAATTATAAATTTATAAATAACCAAAACGACCGATTTTGATTACCAATGAATTTTGCTACCAACGATTGTCACTATCATTGAAATTTATTACTAGCAATTTTGACTACCATCGTTTGAAACTGACAATGAATTTTATTACCAGCGATTGTGACGACCATTTTCTGCAACTACCATTGAATTTTATTACTAGTGGTTGTGACTACCATTGTTTTAAAATATTGAATTTTATTACCAGCGATTTAGACTACCATAGTTTAAAACAACCATTGAATTTTTTCATCAGGGATTGTAACTACCATTTTTTACAACTATCATTGAATTTTATTACCAGTGGTTGTACCAATTATAACCATCACTGTTTTTGTTATTATTACTATTTGCTGATTATTATTATTACTATTATTTACATACTATTATTATAATTACTACTATTATTTGATTATTATTATTATTACTAATATTTGATAATTATTGACATTACAATTATTTAATCATTATCGTGATTATAATAAACGAGAAAAAAATTCCCAGCCGCCGGGAATCGAACTCACGACCCAATACTGGCGCGAGTCGACGCCTTAACCATCTAACCAAAGACAAACACTACAAAAAAGTGCATTTTACGGAAAAATATAATTTTTTTCCTTCTTAACTTTAATTAACATTGTGTCAACAATATATGTGACGCTCCACGAGAAAAGGGACCTTATGACAAGAGTAAATAAGGTCCCTTTTCTCGTGGAGCGTCACATATGTAATAAGGGAAAATTGAATTAACAGAAACAATAGAAAACAATATTTTTTGAAAAACATCTGTAATAAAAAAAAAAATTAATTTGAATTTTGTTTAAATATTGTCTCTCTGTAATATAATTACAGAAAAAAAATTTTTTAAAAAAAATGAAAAAGCACAAAAAAAATTTTTAAAAGAAAAAAATAAAAAAGCACGAAAAAATTAAAAAAATTAAAAAGTACGAAAAAATTGAAAAAAAAAAATTGAAAAAAAAAATTGTTTCAAAAATGAAAATTACATTATAATATATTTTATAAACAGATAAATAAATAAAAATCGATTAATAATAATATTAATTAAATAATTTCCCCTGAATATTACTTTGCAATTACATAAGGTAAATTACGTTTAGAAAAGTCAAAAAGTTTTGAATGAAAATTTTCAACTTTTGAGAATGACGAAAATTACCGCTTTTTCTCTCTCTTTCTCTCTTTCTCTCGAAAAGTTGGAAAATCAGTTTTCTGGAATACTAAATAGTTGCTGTCTACCAGAAGCGGTGTTTAAAATTCAACAAGGAAATTCTGTTATATTTTTATCTCGCCTTTCACTCTTTTTTTAATTATTAATTTTTGATTCTATTGTCAGTCTTTTTTTCTCTTCAATTCTCTTTCCAAATTAATAATTCTCTTTTATTTGAAATTTCCATTTCAACAGAAAAAAAAATTTGTTGGTATTCAAAAAAAAAAAAAAATTAAATTAAATTAATAAGTAAGCACAATCGATAAAAATTAATAATTAACAATTAATAACATTTGATATAAATTTAAGAATTAATACCTAAGTAATAATTATTATTAATTAATAATTATAATTTAATTAATAATATTATAATTTAATTAATTAATAATAATTAATTATAGAGAAAATAATTAATAATTAAATCTCAATAACTAATAATTAATTATTAATTACTGTAGTTAAATTTATAAACGAGGATCAAAATATTAATAATATTATATTAGTTCAATTAACTTTAATTAATAATTATTGATCGAAAAAAATTTTCGCTTTTATTATTTCTTTTACAAATTATAATTAGAGATTTCAAAAAATTTTTTGATTAAAATTTATGTGAATAGAGACGGTACTTCATTAAATGGAATTTTCAATTTGAAAAAAAACTCTTCATAACGATTTTCCTCGTAAATTAAATTGATATACCTAGTAATTGAAGTGATTTCGTAAGATGCTTTTATAAATAATGTATAAACAATATTCACGAGAATGTAAATCGTGATAACGTTATGAAAGATAAGAGATTCTTTTCAATAAAATACATTATTATTCCCAGATAATAAATCCATATTATACTTCTTCAAACCAACGTTTTTTCATTTCGATATTTTTATTTTTAAGTTTACCTGTAATTTTTATTTTTTTATTTGTTATATTGTATATGTTTTTTTTATTGCTTCCTCATAAAGGAAGCTTTGTATTAGCAAAATTTTGGATTGTCATTTTTTGACATATTTATAAATTTTTTTTTATTATGTCTAATACTTTAGTACTTTATATATGCACAGGAACTCCCCGTATAAATGTTCTAAATAAATAAAAAAAAATTTCGACATATTTTGACCTCCGAAGTCCAAAAAACGGATTTTAAAAATTTGTCCTGATGTGTGTGTGCGTGTACTAACATTATACATTTGCCTCAATATCTCAGAACGAGAAAGAGCTAAAGGCCTCAATTTTTTTTTAAACTAGCTCCTCCGACGGCCGCAAGCGGCCGTCTACGGTGCTAGTTTTTATATGTCCATTGTCCAAGTCCATTATTTCATTAATAATAATATTAATTATAATACAGGCATTATAATATTCAAATTTTTTCAGTTAAAAATTTGCTTATATTTATATTTAAAATGTTGACGTTTTTTTGACAATGCAAAATAAGATTTATTATGAGTCCTAACAAAAATAAAATTCATATATTCGCGCTCTTTTTAAATAACATACGACTGCAGCGCCACCTTCACATGTCCAAATAATTTTAAGAACACCCTTCTATTAAGATTTTACATTCTCATTGCCCATTCTTTACTTCGATACTTTTCGATACATTCGACCTTTCCACTCCATGTCTTTTTTAAGAAAGGATTGTAGGTCTCCCCGGGGGACATAAAATGAAAGTATTTTCAGCCCGATTCATGAAGTTTAACTATTTTTTTTGCATTTTTCATTTAGTAAAAAAACGTTTCTTGGACATAACTTAAAAAAATGTTAGGACACTTATAAATCTTTTTCTTTAGTTTTTTAGAGTTTTTTCAGGCGCATCTTTTGAGCCCTAATTGAACATTTTTCGTCCATATTAACCGGAGATATTAAACTTTTAAAAATCAAAAATTTTGGAAAATAAGACTTTTTTAAAAATTTTGTTAAAAAATGTAGAAGTTTAGTTTTGTTTTGTATTTAGTTTTTTAGAGTTTTTTCAAACGCATCTTTTGAGCCCCAATTGAACATTTTTCGTCCATATTAACCGAAGATATTAAACTTTTAAAAATCTAAAATTTTGAAAAATAAGACTTTTATAAAAATTTTTTTAAATTATGTAAAATTAACTTTAAAAAATTATTACCAACTTGAAGAGCATTGAAAAACGCTTCGATTGACCTATTTTCGAACCTGATTCGGGCAGAAATTATGAAATTATTGGTATTTGAAAAAACAAAAATCATTTTTTCAACATTCTTGTTTATTAATTTATGTGTAATTATTAAACTATTATTACCATCTTATAGAATATATAAAAACACATTTTTTAGACCAAGATTTAAAGATTTTTAACCCTTTAATAAAAAGTAATTCTTATATTTCAATTATTATTATTTCTATGAGGAAGCAAAAGTGTTCATGAAATGAACACCAAAATTATAAAAATGTACAACTTGGCAGCGGTTTTTTATTTATTTGTATTTATTTTCATTTACTCTCATTTGTTTTTTTTATTTCTGTTCAATTTTTTATTCCTGTTAAGTTTTTTTATTCTTATTCGCTTTTTTATTTTTATTCGTTTTTCTTTTAATTTATTTTTGTTTATTTGCATTTTCTTTATATTTATTTGCATTTATTTTTATTCCATTTTTTATTCTTATTCGGTTTTTTTTATTTTTATTCATTTCTTTTTCATATTCTCTATTCTTATTCATAAGAAAACTTTTTTCATTAATTATGTTATGTTATTTAAATGTTATTTAATAATATATTCTTAAATTAATAAATTAAAAAATTAAAAAATTCTATTTTCTTTTCTTTTGTATTTACTTTTATTGATTCATTTATTTTTATTTTTTATTACATATTACTCACTACTTTATTTTTCTACAAAAAAATTCTTTTCATTATTCAACAAAACAATTTTCTTAAAAATTCATTTTCGTTAAATTTACGAGTGTTACATTTTTTGATAAACAAAAAGCTTTCGTTAAAAAAAAATTTCACCAAAAAAGAATTTTAAAATTCCATCTGTTGAAATATATTAATAAAAAATGTTCCCCTCCCCTCCTTTTTTTCTCCTCTTAATTGGCATATTGCCAACTGATGACTTTTGAGAATTTTATTTATAAATATATATATAAGGAAAGTAATACCATTAAAAAAAATTATTCTTATACATTGTAATATTGTAACCGAATTTTGTAATACATTTAAAATTTTTTTTTTAATATATTAAATTAAACGAAATAAAAATATTTTTCAACTGTAATGAGATATTTCCTCTTCTGAAAACTATCAATTTAAGAAGCTTCATTAATTTTACTATATATAGCATATTTTAATTGGAATTTATAAATACAATATCAAAGAAATCTTATAAAATCTTCGTTTATAATTAAAGGAGTAGAGCCAAGAAATCTTTCAACGTCCGTTATGCTACATGAATCAAGTTGAAAATAATAAAAAGAATCGATGATGATAATTACGAAAATAAGAGAAAAATTAATCTTAAA